CAAAACAGCAAGACTTATTTGACATCAAAACAAAAAATTACTGTACTTTGCTGTACTTTGATCGCTGTACTTTGATGTCACACACAGAACGGTCTGTGCAGTGCTGCTTCAAGTCCAACACTTTTTGTGTTTTATTAGGAGATGCACAATAGTTCTTCTGTTCACGTACACAATTAAGCAAAATCAGACAATATTGTGTCTAATATATACCACAATATTAACGTCTTATTATTGAATTGTTGTAATTAAATATCACATTTGCAGCTAGTCAGTGTTCAAAAAATGCTGGGAAATCATTTAATGTAGCCCTACAAGAGTGACTACTGATAAACTGTCTGAAAAAAAAAGTTTTAGAGAAGAAAAAAAATCACCCACTGACTTTCAAAGCTGCTACATTGTAACGACTTTCTACTTCGAGGACCTTGATAGAAATGTAGTGGAGTGAAAAGTACAATATTTGTCTTTCAAATGTAGTGAAGTTAAAGTCATAAGTTCCCAGAAAAAATAATACTCAAGTAAAGTACAGATACTCAAGTAAATGTACTTAGTTACTGTCCGCCTCTGCTAAAAAGTGGCAAGAGGGCATAAAAACAAAACAACAACATAAAATATTATACATAATGCATGCATAATAAATAATGCTTTTTTCTACCATTGAAGAACTGGTTATAGTTTCACCTTTACCTGCATAAAGTATTTTTCAAAGATATGTTTTCGTCTGTTTTAAATAAAGACAATGATATATAAAGACTCTTCAGTCATTGTCAGTATATCACATACACTCTACGCTGTTTTGGCCCGTTCAACTTCTCCGTGACGAAGGCAGGAAACAAAATCATCAGCACTGAATCAATGAATCATCAGGACAACAACTTGATTTACGGACTCAGTGAGGGGCTCTAACTAAGACCAGACAGCGGCACAGAGACTCTCAACTCTCCTAAGTTTGTTTCCATTGCATCCCTGTGCTCCGTCTTCTCTCCAGTAATTAATGTTGATTCTGTCGGTTAATGGAAAACATTTCCCATGTGTGTGTTTTCGAGTGTGTGTATCTATCTATCTGACTATTAACTAGTCTACCAGTTTAAAGTTTTGCCTCTTTGTCGCCATCTCTGTTTGAAACCTGCAATTGCAGTTACATGCGGAATTATCTTTATTACGTGTGTTGTGCACCGTCACGGATCCAGCGCGGATGAATCTAATGTTTTGAGGAGTATGTGTAGCTGTCAGTGGTTACCGCATGGATATTTACTGTACTTCGGAATCACAGATTCTAGCCTACGTATTGGAATATATGACCCAAATAAGAATTTTTCACCGGATATTGTCATCTGAACAAGCAAGTAACAAGTCTGCTCTTTTTGTTCTGACCAGCTGAGGAAAAAAGCATTACAATAAATCACGCTAACAATGGTGATTAAATCTAACGATCAGTTAATTAGCTCATATCACTTCAAACCATGCAAATTATTATTACGGTTATACTCTGTTTTTAAATTGTTAATGTTAACAACATCAGCATTGCGTGACTATTTGCATGTAGTGTGTATTAGCATAGATTTCAATTTCTGTAGAGTAATCTCTAATTGTCATGCCATTCGAATTTCATATAAAGAAATTATTTTATTTTTAATCCAAAAAGCTAATTATTCTTACTTAGAACTGGTTGTCTTTAAAATACAAATATTGTGTAATCCCAGGCTATCTGTAATCAGATGCACATTTAAAACTGGAGTATAATCTAATTTCAGTCACTTGTGTTTCATAAACACATAATCCTTTCTGAATTACAATCGCCGATCAAAATGATACATTTTGTAAAAAATAAATAAATAAATAAAATTTCCCGCAAATTCCTACCAGTACCACTCAAATTAGAAAACATTATTATGAGCTTACCGTTGTGAATTGGGCTAAAGTAAGGAGATAGTTTTGAACACTGGCTGGTTATGTATTTGCTCAAAAATTTATTTCGGATCATTTTTAACCAAAAAAGGTTACGGACTGCAGCTTTAACTAACTAACTAAGTACCTGACTAAATAACTAATTCTAAATAACAATCTATCTATTGGACGACTAACTAGCTTATCAGACTAGCCTAAGCAACCATGACATGCGCTCGCCATGACAACGCAAAAGTTTCAGCACAGGATAAATATATTTCCAGCACCATAAATCACTTGTAGTAGCTCTACTACTAGATGAATTTCAAAAATGGGTTTCGCTGTACAGTTATGAATAGCTGTTCCTTCATCTTGGCTTAAATTTCAATGTTGTTAAGGAAAGAGTGAAGCTGATTGGTTGGTTCTTGTCACATGACGCGTGGTGCACTTGCGGCATTCTGAAAAGTTTAAATGCTTTCATCTTGCTGCGGCGTAGCCACGTTTGGAAAAAACGCGTCACTTCTATTATGAGTGCACTTACCACGTGTATACATTTGAAATAACGAACTTGATCTATTTTATGAATAACTAGTCTACCAGTTTAACTAATTAAATAAGAATCTATTTATCAGATTACTAACTAGCCTATCAGATTAGCTAACTAATAAAGATCTATCAGATGGTCTAACTCAGGGGTGTCAAACTCATTTTCAATGTCCACTTCAACCTTATGGCTGCCATCAAAGGGCCAGTTGTAACTGTAAGACTGTACAAATGTTGCTACTCCTTAACATATTGTTAAATAACTGTCTCTTTATTTTATTATTACTTATTTAAGTTACAAATATTGCATATGCATTTGCATAGATGTAAACATATATGTTATTGCTCTGTGTTATTTTAACATAAATCCATTTAATTTAGCAGGTTAAGAAATCCAAATTACTCCATAAATCAAAGTAAATAAAGACAAGTATCATCAAACACAGGTCATTACATTAACTTTGTTAAAAACTTTTTTGTTACATTTATGGTACAACAAATAATTGTGAGCTGCTAAGAACGTGTGATATGGCATTTAAAAAAACAAATGAGTCCGGTCTCATGAAAGTGCCTATAGCACGATTTTCTGTTTCTATTTGGCAATGTAATTTATACGCAGAAATTGACTTTGGCGTGCATATCATACACACGTGTTTGGCGTGCATATGATACACAATCAATGCTTGTAGTAGAAAAAAAGAAGTGGTACTCAACCCCACTCCCCCACCCAAAAATAAATAAATACAAACTAAAGTACTAAAAAAAAGTGCTTTTTAATTTTCTTAATTTGCAATGAATGTATATAGTGCCAAAATAAATAAATGAATTAATTAATAACTGCTTGCAATTCAATTCACATTTATTTGTGTAGCACTTTTCATGATAAACTGTTGCGAAGCAGCTTCACAGAAAACAGACAGCACTTTTAATAAAAAAAAATTGAACAAGTCAATCTGCGATGCCAAACAGGAACACAGGGGGATGCCAAGAGACCACTAAATGAGCTACCTTGACCTGACTGATCCAGATTTACTAAACCACTGACTACTGCGTAATCTAAAACACCTTCAGCCAGCATCCAGTATAAAACACTCGTGCTTTTAAGCCAAATAGCTTGCCGATTTTAAATTTTTTACTGACATCTGTACGTGAGTACTATTATCTCTGCCATCTCTGATGAAATCGGCCATGTTTTCTCTGCATTAGCGCTGTTTTAAACGTACTGTTTGAATGCATTTGCTTACTGGCTCCTTAGACTCCTCCAGGAGTTTGCCAGTTGATGTGATCGCAAAAAAACCTGCTTCTTTTTATTTTCATAATGTATTGTTGACACGTGCGAAACATACATTTAGACTACTACTGTTATGCTATGTAAATACTTATTTACATTAGTTGGCATGTGTGCCAATGTATGTTTCTGCCAGTAATTTTTGAGCGCACGCATATAATGTCTGATCGATAGAAAGCGTGTCCGTTTTCTGTGAGAATCCACCTGCAAGCAGAGAGATTTGCGCTCGCGCATTTGATGCGCTCTCGCATAGGCAGTATGCACTCTGGACATTTGTCATTAAAATAACTAAATAGAAACGGCCTCAAACGAACTTTTAAAACGAGAAGAAAGTCATGTCTGAAAGCTGCAATCGATTTTTTAATTCGTTAAATGAATGAAGAATATTGTGTTTTTCCATTTCCGTCGGTGGGGCTCTAGCACTGAGGTCCGCACTTATTCCTTTGAGCCGTCCACGCAGTCATCATCAATGGAAAAACCCCACACCCTTAATCCTAACCATTGCGTATCATATGCACACCAAAGTCAATTTATGCGTATAAATAGAACGGCAAATAGAAACAGAAACTTGTGGTATTGATACGCACTTTCATAATTTACCATATAAAGCTGCATAGATTTTTATTTTAAGACACACAAAATGATGTGGCGGGCCGGAATAGGCCCGCGGGCCTTGAGTTTGACACATGTGGTCTAACTAATTAACTATGAATCTATCTATCAGACGATTTAATGTGCCATCCAGTTTAACTAAGAATCTATTGGATGACTTACTAGCCTATCAGTTTAACCAACTATTTAAGAACCAATATATGAGATAACTTACCTAGCCTAGTTAAGTTTAACTAAGAATATATCTATCGGATGACAAACTAGCCTATCAGTTTAACCAACTAACTAACAAAGAATCTACTAACAGATAACTTAACTAGCCTAGTTAAGTGTAACAAACAAATAATTTATTTATTGGATGACTAACTAGTCTATTAGCTTAACTAACTAAATTACTAAGAATCTATATATCAGTCAATTAAACTTACCAACCAGTTTAACTGAGAATCTATCTATCTGGGCGACTAACTAACTAACTAACTAACAAATAATCTATCCATCAGATATCTTAACTAGCCTAGTTCATTTTAAATAACTAAAAATCTATTTACTGGACGACTAACTAGTCTACCCGTTTTACTAACTAAATTACTAATTAAAAATCTATCTATCAGATAACTTACCTAGGCTATAAGTCTACTAACTAACTAACCAACTAACCTACCAGTTAAAGTAACTATAACGGAAATGGTTCGGTGTGGTGGTTGGTAATCAGAAGGCCACAGGTTCAGCCCTTGTCCTGTTTTACTAAAGATAAAAGCAAAATAACTGACTTCCATATGCTTATACACTTCTGATGCCCAGATGACTTACCCGTCTTCCTTTAGCTCCTCTCATGCCGATGGGTCCACGTGATCCCGGTGGGCCCTATAAAAAAAAAAGAGACCATTTACGTGTGCACACTTGTGTTTCTTTTCTCTTTTTGGGGGATTAATATCAGGCAGACTGGTTCCTGTCTCTCTCACTGCTAATAAGAGTTTGTGTTTGTTTTGTCTGTCCAAACTGTAAGCACAGAACGTTACACAGGGGTGTCTGACAGCTGACCGACAGGACAGCAGGTGATGCCGGCGTACAACCATCAGCTTCCTTCTGACATCCAAACTATCTGAAGTAAATGCTGTCGACTTACTGGACTGCCTGGTGGTCCTGGTGGGCCGCTCTCTCCAGGGGTTCCTGGGTGCCCCTGTAAGTGATGGGAAACATGTAAGACACACACACCATACAAAACATACAACATATGTGTATAAATGAAACACTACATTACAAAATATTAGATTATATCTTCTATAGTACGGCATGATATCTGCTGAATGAAATCCAATACTTTTTTTTAAACTAATTTTGGGATTCTGATTCAAAAATAGTGTCTGTTTTGCTTAAGCACGCCACTCTTTCTCACTAAATATTATGGATTTTGTATCACAATCATTTGTAAGGTGATTTTGTATTATCCCTTAATCAACAGAAAACTGACACACAGACACGGTTCCTGTCTAACTATTTGTTCAATTCTCACAATTTTCACAAGTATGAATGATTCTGAAGACCTTGTTTTATGCCTAATCCTGATTTCCACTTTTTCTACAAATTAAATAATACATTCTGAATACTTCATTTTGCCAAAACCTTTTGTCCAAACTTTTGACATTTGCCGAGGAGCTGGAAGGAAGTGGGCCATTTATCTATGATGGACAGTTGAACTTCATGTTTTAAACAACATTCATAATTTGAAGGAGCGAGAATGAGGGCGGAAGTGCATGCTGAGAATTTATGTGCGGTGTATGTGTGCCGTACGGTAGATCCTTTCTCTCCTGGAGGCCCGGGCAATCCCATCTCTCCACGATCACCCTAAATAAATCACATAACAGAACATTTAAACTATGGCTCAAATGATTTTTTTGAAAGAAGTCTCTTCTGCTCACCAAGGCTGCATTTATTTTGATCAAAAAATACAGTAATATTGTGAAATATAATTACAATTTAAAATAACTGTTTTCTATTTGAATATATTGCAAAATGTAATTTAATCCTGTGATCAAAGCTGAATTTTCAGCCTCATTCCTCCAGTCTTCAGTGTCACATGATCCATCAGAAACCATTCTAATATGCTGAGCTGATGCTCTCAGGTGTGTCTTACCTTCTCTCCAGCTAGTCCAGTCTCCCCTGCAGGGCCGATGAAGCCAACGAGACCCTACAAACACAACATCATCAGTGTGAGGGTCAAAGTGTGGTTAAAGGCCATAACTCAGTCTGTGTACTCACCCTCTCACCCATGGGTCCAGCCTTTCCTGTGACACCCTGCTCGCCCTGAAAGACATCAGAGAGTGTTTGAGTGACTGTGTGTGTGGAGGAGATTTGTGTGAGTTTATATTCTGCTTATGTTCTCACTTTGACTCCTTCAGGTCCAACAGCCCCAGGGAAACCCTTACTGCTCATCAGACCCTGGAAACACAGACAGAAAAGAGACCATTTGTTATGAGACACATAATGATGAGACTAGACTGTACATATAAACTGTTTCAGAAAGAGAAAAAAAGAAACTGTATTTTGCATAAACAGAATGGAGCTTATGTGTAATGAAAACTGTCACAGTCTTCAGCCGGTGTGCCCAGGAGGGCCACCAGATGACTGTGTTCTGGGAGCACATGGCTTGTGTTGTGTTTGTCTGTTGCCATGTGCTCTCTCCTGTCTATTGTCTGGCCCCTCCCATCTTGTCACCTCGTTATTGTTTTAGTTGCTCCACCTGTGTCTCCCTCGTTAGCCTCCTCGTTTGGTTCCTATTTATTCTCCTTGTGTCTGCCATCCTGTGCTGATCCGTCATTTTTCATGGTGTGTGTTTCGTGTCTGCATGTGTGCAGCTTTAGGCCTGCCTCTCTGGTTTGAGTTTGTTTTTGTTTAATTTTTTGCTAAAATAAAATACCATTTCTCCAGCAATTGAGTCCTCGCTTCATCTCCCCGCACGTACCGTGACAGAAAACATCATGGGATCTCAGTTCTGCTGTTGCGCTATTGAATTATATTTATAATATATATAAATGTCATTTATATAGCACACTTCATACTTAAAAAGTGCTTTACAAAATGATTAAAAATAGTTATAAACATACAATAAAAAAGAAAAATTTGGGGGAAAAAATACTGGTAACCCTTTACTTGAAGCCTTTATGTATAATGCATTATAAAATAATTTAATGCATTAATTATGCCTTGTAATGCACCTCATAATGCATTGTTTCATCTCATTATAATACAGTTATAATACATTATAATACTTATTTATTGTTACACAGAAAATATAACGCATTAAAACACATAGCAAACAACCAATTTCAGATGTAACAAGAAATGTGCAAATATAATGCATTTTTACTTTTTTATGAAAATATATAATGCATTACAATGAAATTATTATTTTCTCAATTATATAGCTTATTTCATACAGAGTGGTAATTAAAAAGTGCTTTACAAAAATGACTAAAAAAGTGATAATAAATACAATAAAAAAGCAATAAATTTAAGTAAATAATAGTAAAACCTTTCTTAAAGCCTTTATATATAATGCATTAATTTTGCCTTGGAATACACCTTATAATGCATTGTATGATCTCATTAATAAGTGTATACACAGTTATAATACATTATAATACTTATTTTATAATATTATTTCTCACTACACAGAAAATACAATATATAATACATTATTTAACTGAATTTAATTATTGTTCAATTTACTTCCAGATATTTCTAATGACAATGTTGCGTTTTATAATTCAGCTTTGACTTGAAATCTTGGAAAATAATTCATCAAAGCATAAGAGATCATGCACAACTGATATGCATGAGTTAAGCCATTCAATGTAGTCCTAATTAGCAAGTCTAAGTGATCCCCAAATAAATGAAAATAATTTCATAATAGCAAAAAAATCGTAATGGTTATAAACAAGCTTCATTTTTATGCAAAACATAATTCTCTTTTCTTCCCCTTTGCTTTTGGTGAAATATGACATTTCTTCATGAGATTCACCCATTAAATATGTCACATGTTTGATTATGTTGGAGCAAGACATGAATATGCATACTAATGCACAAGAGCTGCGTCCAGAGCAAAGAAGAACATACTGAAAGTCTCACCAAGACATATCCAATTACTGACCGCACAACAGAGACACAGAGAGAGATGAGGAAAACAGATACCTGTCTGAGGACAGAATGATGCATGGAGAACATAGAGAAATGTTCTGAGTTTGTGCCAGAGAAGCATTGAGTTCGGTTAAACAAGAAAAAAGTGGAACGAAAGAAGGGAAAAGAGGAAAAACAGAGACAGAGCGGGAATGTTATGTAATACAGAGGCTGATCGCAGCAGATTCTGAGCCTCCTGCTTTACGATGCTGGATTTATTCATTCCTTCTGTCTTTTACAAAAGAAATCCCCAGCCTCTATAATTCATTGATATATTAAACATAATTAAAGCTATTCGAAATTTAAATCCCCTATTGCGCCACCTTGTGGTCCGTTGGGTGAATACACGTTTTGCTTTGCTCACACAGAATATAAAAACAGACTCTTGGTCATTTTTCAACCACAAATCATTTAATAATATATATTTTGTATAAAAATGAATATATTTTTGATAAGTTCTGAGGTCAATTCATCCAAAAATTTATATTTGCAACTTTACAGCTTTAAATTAACAAATGCAATACCATCCTCAATATAACTTTAAGGCCTCCAATATACATTTTCAAAATCGCAAACACAAAACCTTCTATAAAAGATTTGTTATAAGACAAATGATGACGAAATAAATTGCATTTTGCATAAAGAGAATGAAACCTATGTGTAATGAGAATGTCACATGATCTCAATGTGCTATTGAAATTAAATAATTTTTTTCATTTATAGAGCACATTTCATACACAGCTGTAATTCAAACTGTTTTACATAAAAATGATTTAACAAAAACATTAATAAAAAATTTTTTTTTTCAACCATAAATCAAAAGAAAACAAATAATTTCCACAAAAAAAAGCATACAAAATCGATAGATTTTTTTGACAGCCATTCACCCAAAGATGTAAATTTGCAACAGTATAAAATTAACAAATGCAATACCATCATCGAGGCAATTTTAAAGCCTCTAAAACAACATCAAAACTGCAACAACAAAAAAAACTACAAACAAAATCACAGTAAAGGCCTTTCCACGGTTATATTTACTTATATTTTTTTATTTTTTATTTTGTGCATATAAGAAAATTAATCATGGAACTTGTGATTATTTTAAGGTTATTCGAATACTGAGTAAAAACTTTTTGCACAAATCAACAAAATCAGAAAAATAAATACTTTCGCAGAAATTGAAGTTCAGTTACACTATGTTGTACGGATTTTATTTAGCTTTTTAATACTTGATTATGGGTAAAAAAAAATATTATTTTAAAGGAACGATTCATCTTCTTTATGTTATTCCAGGAAACAAATATTACAAAACACATATATTTTGCATAAAAATTTATATATTTATTTGAAGTTAACAAACTATGTAATGCATTACCAATGCAACTTTAAAGCCTCTAAAACCGTATCAAAACCACACATTTTCAGTATACGTTTTCAGAATTGCAAACAAAAATCCCACTATACACAACATTACAGAAAGCTGACAAACAACTGAGCAGTTTTCATATGCAGATTCCCCAAATACCACTTACTTCCACAGAACACAAAAGAAGAACATTTTTGAAGAAATGTAATGTTGCTCTTTCACATGCAATTACATTTGAATGAAGAAAGAGGCTTTCAAGCTCCAAAATGAATGTAAAAAGCAGCATACTATTCATACTACATGTGTGATTCTGTATGAGCTCAGAAGAAAGTAGTGACTTTGAAAACAGCGCACAAGTAACAGGGAAAACTGCTGAGTGCTTTTGAGACTTTTAAGCTAGAAAACATCAGTCCTCATTGGAACTAATTACACAGAAAAATGCTACCGATACAATTCTGCAGAAATTAAGCGTTAGCGTTAGTTCTGGCAGGTCACGTGAGTCAAGCTCGCATCAGCTGATTCTGAGCTGATCACATCTACCTATAGTAATACGACACCTATCGCGGCATTCCTATATAAGCTCTATTCAGTATTATTCAGCAGCTTTTCAGCATGCTCCGGAGCAAATTACCCTCCTCCATCCCCAGCTCCTCCTTTCGCCACAGTCAGGATTTGGCTTTCTGATATTCCTTGCTAATCAGACTCCTTTATCTTGAATAAAGTGTTACACTTAAATATCATTAAGTACATTAATGATATCTGCCTTGTTCTGTTCTGTTAACCCTAGGGGGGTTATTATTGCTGCTCTCCCTGCTCATTCATGACAGGCTGCATGGATGGGCAGGGAGGTTTATGCCCAGAACAGAACCATACCGCCAAACCAAACTTTATGCGAAGTATCTATCATTTTGACGATAGTGGTCCTGACAGAACTGTTGCTTTTGTGTTCCACAGAAGAAAGTGAGTCATACACGTTCATGGAACAACATGTGTAAAAAAGAGTAGAGTAAATGATAGAATTTTCAGTCTGAGTGAGCTATTCTTTTAAAGAAATACAAAACAGATAAGAAACAAACCTGTGGTCCTGGTTTTCCATGAGGTCCCGGTAAGCCTGACAAACCCTGCACACCCTGAAACAAACAAATATAATATGCACACAGTTATATATTCATTATATTAGCACAAACACTCGTTCAAGAGCATGAGTGCATGTGTCTATGAAAGCTCTAACATTGGGGCAATTAGAAGGTCAGATTTAATCAAAACAACAGACGTCTAGATGTCACAGTGTGCCAATGTGTATTTGACAGGGGGAAATGGAAGGTATACCTTGTCTCCTGAGAACCCAATTTCCCCTTGTTCTCCAGGAAGCCCAACATCACCCTGAGAGAGAAAAAGTTAAAGAGAGAAGAAAAAAAGAGTGAGAAACAAGTTGTGATGTGAGTCAAAGTCAGAAAAGAGACCAGAGAAAGTGACGGAACATGATGGTTAAGTTAGGGCAAGGGAAAAAATGCAAGCTTTACATTTCCACTTTTAATGCTTCCAGAATGCTGGTCCTATAGACTTCCAATGTTTGTGCATTTATTTATTTATTTTTTATATTATTGTTATTTATTATATTATATTATTATTTATTTTATTTATTTGAAAATACATTTACTTTAAATAAAGTTTATTTGTTAAAAACCTAAATCACTGACCATTACAATCAATAATATACCATAATATCATTAGACTTCCAATGTATGTGCATTTATTTATTTAATAAAAAATATTTACAGATTTACTTAAAGCAGCTTTCCTGTAAATAACTAAATAAATAAAGGCAAGGCAAGTTTATTTAAATAGCACATTTCATACACAATGGTAATTCAAAGTGCTTTACATAAAATTAAATAAAATAATAATAAAAAATAATCACAACAATAAAACAAGGAATTTAAAAACTTTGAAAATGATTTAAAAATTGATTTAAGATGTTTAAAATGAAAATAAAGGTTTATTTATTAAAAATGTATATATTTTTTCATTAAAAAAACGAAATGTTTGACCAATATGTCATAAAATGTCATAAAAGCTGTCGATTGAGTTTAACGTGCATTGCTTTAATAAATAAATAAAGATAGCTTATTATTAAAAATGAATGTATGCCTTTATTTATTATTTAAAAAACGAAATTATTGACCATTATGATCAACATTATGCCATGAAAGCTGTCAATAGAGTTTAGCACATTTCGCATAAATAAATAAATAAACAAACGCTGTTTATTTATTATAAATTTATTTATTTATTTAAAAACAAAATTATTAATATTATGCATTATAATCAACATTATGCCATAAAAGCTGTTGATAGAATTTAACGTATTGATCCTGGAAGCAACTCTCTCTCGCAAACTAACAGAGAAAACATGTTAGTTGTTGTACCTTAAATATAACTCTACAGAAATTTCACATTTTCTTCTGACAAACCGAAATAAAATCTCTTCGACTACATGTTACTTAAAGGGTTAGTTCACCCAAAAATTTAAATTCTGTCATTAATCACTCACCCTCATGTTGTTTCAAACCCGTAAGACCTCCGTTCATCTTCGGAACACAAATTTAAATATTTTTGATGGAATCTGAGGGCTCTCTGACCCTCCCATAGACAGTAAGTGTCCTTACACGATCAACGTTCAGAAACGTAGCAAGGAGATCGGTAAAATAATCCATGTGACATCAGGGGTTCAACCGTAATTTTATGAAGCTACGAGAATACTTTTTGTGCGAAAAAAAAAAAAAAAAAAAAAACTTTATTCAACAATTCGTCTCCTCCGCGTCACCCTGTAGCGCCATTTTGGAGAATATCAGCTGGACGTAAACAGCGTATGTCAGCTGCGTCACACGGATCTGTTTCCTACATTGTTGTGATTTGATCTGAAAGGAAACAGAGTGTCCATGTGACGCAGCTGACACAGAACAGCATACGGGTGATGCGGAGGAGACGAATTGTTGAATAAATTCGTTATTTTTTTTTCTTTTGCGCACAAAAAGTATTTTCTTAGCTTCGTAAAATTACGGTTGAACCCGATGTCACATGGATTATTTTACGGATCTCCTTGCTACGTTTCTGGACTTGGGAACATTTCAGTTGTATTGCTGTCTATGGGAGGGTCAGACAGCTCTCAGATTCCATCAAAAATATCTTAATTTGTGTTCCGAAGATGAACGAAGATCTTACCGGTTTGAAACGACATGAGGGTGAGTAATTAATGACAGAATTTTCATTTTTGGGTGAACTATCCCTTTAAGGCTGGAGCTTTTAAAACATGCGTAACACAGTGTGGCCAATGGGGAGAGAGAATTTCCATCACATGCTGCTGTAAAACAGGCCAATAACAGAGTATTCAGATCACCTTATCACCTTTCAGGCCGGGCTCGCCCATGTTCCCTGGGACGCCCTGAAACACACACACACACACACAAACATATACGCTAAAGTGGCCATGAGTGATGGAGATATGTGTTGGGTACATATGTGCATGACTTACTTTCAGTCCATTTGGTCCCGGCAAACCGATAATCCCGACAGGGCCCATATCACCCTAGAGAAGAGATGGGAATGAGTGCTGTATGTGCTTTTAAATGTCCAATTTGAGAAGGATCTAACTTATAAAACTTAATCTGATAAATGTTCTTAGTTTTATTGAGGTAATACATCATGCTAAGAGCACCTGCAGGGGGCACATGATCGCACGTTACTCATTTGTGAAAGCAATTGTGGATCTTATTTGCATACCATGCTGTTCAGATCAAACTGATTTCAGCTGTACTACAACAACAGAAACACTGTGTGCTTATAAATGCTGACCACAGGGTGACCAGACATCAGTGACAATGTTATAGGTGAGATGTGATTAATACCGAAGATTATTTAGAAATGTACTTTGATTGCAAAACTATCGTTCCGCAGTTTTGTGGTTGGTACAATTTTTAAATGTTTCTGAAAGACTCTTCAGCTCACCAAGGCTGCATTTATCTGATCAAAAATACAGTAAAAACAGTAATATTGTGAAATATTATTACTATTTCAAATAACTGTTTTCTACTTGAATATATTTAAAAATGTAATTTATTCCTGTGATGACAAACCTGAATTTACTCCAGTCTTCAGTGTCACATGATCCTTCAGAAATCATTCTAATATGCTGATTTGCTGCTCAAGAAACATTTCTGAATATTATCAATGTTGAAAACTGTTGTGCTGCTTTATATTTTTTTGGAATTTACTGATACATTTTTTTTCAGGATTCTTTGATGAGTAAAAGTTCAAAAGAACAGCATTTATTTGAAACATTATAAATATATTTACTGTCACTTCTAACAAATTGAATGCATCCTTGTTGAATAAGGGTATTCATTTCTTTAAGAATATTAATTATTAATTTTCCTTAAAAAACAAAAAAGAAATATTATACCTCACGTCAGCAAAAGTTGTGCTGTGTTGGATTTTAATATCAATAGTTAGTCTATGTCTAAGTTAGCTGAAGTTCAAATGCATCAAACCCATTTTAATGTAATGTTTCTTTGGTTTCCTATATTCTGCATAACTTCTATAAATTGTAAAAAAAAAAAAAAAAAAAAAAAATATTGAATTCCACCTGCATATAATTTCAAGCTCTACATCTCTGATCTGCCCCAATTTTTCTCACTAAGGTCATCTGGTCACTCTAGCTGAGCGTAAATCCTTACATTCACACAAAAACCTTATTCATTATGCATGAAGCATTTTTCAAGGACATCTCTAGATGCCTCGTTTTGTCAGATTTAGCTCACTTCTGGGCTAAAATAAATTTAAGTAAACCATTTCACTTACAATCAATCCATGGACACCAGGAGGACCAGGAGCTCCTATAACACCCTGACATAGAAACACAGAAACACACAGAGCGTTACGCCGTCCTTCTGTAACAAGTACAGACTGCCAGTGCTTCATATGTTAGTACATGCATGCACCTCTAAATGTCTGTCATTTATAATACGTGCTGTGTAAATGCACCCTCTTCATATTCAGAGATATTAATATGACCATTCAAATGAGTGTGTCTCGTAGAGCGAGCATGTGTGAGTATTTTTCTAGAAACAGAGATGGTTTGTTGTTGGCTCTGCAGCAGCGTGCCGGAGCCATTTCCTCTCGTTCCCCTGGTGTGATGAAAGGATGAAAGGAGCATTTCACTCCTCTTTTCAGGAAAGGGAGAACAGGAAATGAGAAGGCTTTCAACTTCCTATTCTTACAGTCCCCGCATTTACAGGTGAAAAATAGGCGGGATTTGACCAAACACTTCCTGATATGATGTCATCTACTCCAACCAATCAGAGACATTTTTGGGAATGATAATTAATTGTTATGATATTGACCTTAGTAAGGACAGATTCGATGTGAATGAAAGTCCCCCCTTCCCAAAGAAGTTCTAGTTTAAAAAAGACACGATCTAACGCCTTCCTTACTCAAATAAATTAATTAAATTATTAATAAAAATAAAAAAAATGTAAAAAATAAAATTAAATCCCAGTGGGCAAAGAGGCAGGATCTAACACCTTCCCTAATGAATGAATAAAAATAAATATATAAATATCTGAATGAATGAATGAATGAATGAAAAATTAAATTCCAGTAGGCAAAAAGATACAATCTAATAAATAAATCAGCCTAAGATGGTTTGCTAGTCTTAGCTGGTTTAAGGCAGTCTCCCAGGCTGACAAGTTTACAAGTGCCCAAAACCCTTTCAAACCAGCAAACCAGGCTGCAAGACTCCTTACAACCAGCAAACCACCTTATGCTGGTTTAAGTTATTAATATTCAGCATACCCTTCACAGCCTTGTTTGTATTTGACAAATTAAATTTGTCTTCCATACCAGCTTAAACAAAGAAACGTGTACAGAAGATACAACACTGCTGTTGTGAGTGTTTTATCTGCTTTATGAGAAAAAGACAAAAGAATATGCATGAAAAACCTAGTTTTAAACTCACTGGCTCCCCGTCCAGTCCTGGTGGGCCCCTCTCTCCAAAATCACCAGGAAAACCCTGAGAGAGAGAGAGAGACAATACAACACATGACTATCACAGTCACTGAATATTTAAACAATTAGACTTTTCTAAAGAAGCAAAAGTGGCCTCCACAAAGCTACATTGTGAGAGGTTGCCAGAGCATGGTTGCTAGGGTGTTCTGGACCGTTGCTAGGCAATTGGTATGTGGTTACTTATGTTTTCTGAGTGTTTGCTAGGGTGTTCTGTATGGTTAAGGTGTTCTAAGTGGTTGTTAAGGTGTTCTGAGTGTTTGCTGGGCTGTTCTGGATGGTTGCTAGGGTGTTATGAGTGTTTGCTAGGGTGTTCTGGATGGTTGTTAAGGAGTTCTGAATGTTTGTTGGGCTTTTTGGATGGTTGCTAAGGTGTTCTGAGTGGTTACTAGGGTGTTCTGGGTGGTTGTTAAGGTGTTCTGAATGTTTGCTAGGCTGTTCTGGATGGTTGCTTAGGTGTTATGAGTGGTAGCTATGGTGTTCTGGGTGGTTGTTAAGGTGTTCTGAATGTTTGCTGGGCTGTTCTGGATGGTTGCTTAGGTGTTATGAGTGGTTGCTAGGGTGATCTGAGTTGGTATGTGGTTGCTAGGATATTGCTATGCACTTGCTAAGGTGTTCTGAGTGGTTACTAGGGTGTTCTGGGTGGTTGTTAAGGTGTTCTGAATGTTTGCTAGGCTGTTCTGGATGGTTGCTTAGGTGTTATGAGTGGTTGCTAGGGTGATCTGAGTTGGTATGTGGTTGCTAGGATATTGCTATGCACTTGCTAAGGTGTTCTGAGTGGATGCTAGGGTGTTCTAGATGGTTGCCAGGCTACTGGTATGTGGTTGCTATAAGGTGTTCTGAGTTGTTGCTAGGGTGTTCTGGACGGTTGGTAGGCCATTGGTATGTGGTTGCTAGCATATCGCTATGCAGTTGCTAAGATGTTCTGAGTGGATGCTGGGGTGTTCTAGATCAGTGTTTCCCAACCTTTTTTTAGTCGCGGCACCCACAAAATAAATTTTGTCACAATATTTGAATTTCTAACTTCGATGTGATAATTTGAAAAGTATAGATATTCGGTACAACAGGGAAGAACTGCAAAATATAATGTCATACAGATATTTTTTATATTATTTAAAAAATGTGTCCATCAATGGTGGCAATCAGTACGCTCATTTCTAATGAAGAGACTAATTTATATGACAATATTTTAATGTAGGCTTTTATACATATGTAAACATTATTTAATTACCATTATAACTAGCTATCTCACAAATTTTTGCTCACTCAGTGTTGTTTTTATTTTACAGTGGGGTAATTTTGGTTCAGTAGCACGAGATAGCTTGATTTCACACTTTGAATTGAATAAAAAATGACAAGTAAGCAGTCAGTAATAAAATAAGAACAAATAAATTAATTAATAATGATAGCACAAGCAAAAAATAACAAAAGGCCTTCAAATTAAATAAATAGCTTTTTAGTTTTTCAGGTAGGTCTAACAGTAGGGTTAAGATATTTAACTTTTTTTTACCAATTATCCAAATAATGTTTAGTCCTAGAAAGATATAGCTTTTGGATATAATAATATATTATTATCAGAACACATGAGCATAACATAGCGGTTAGCAGATCAATGAATGAGAGGGCAGCGTTACCAGAGTTGCCCATATGCCACACCATGTTACAACACAGTGCTATTGTAGACAGAAACAATACCGTACTACATCGATGTTTTCTGTCGGCTCAATTTTTGAGTGGACTTTGCTGTTCCGATGAGCATGAACGGTATATGAGTGGAGCGACTGAGCGGAGTGCACACGCATAGAGCGGAATAATACACAGAGCGTCACACCACATGAAAGTGAATCCTGAGCGGTGAACTCATTTTCGGCAGCCGGAATTTCAGTGCATCTCTAATTATTTGCGACATCAGAAATGGATATTATAGAATAGATGCTTTTTTGAACATTTTAGCAATTTAAAAATATTTAAAAAATATTTTTTTACACTGCACCCCTGCTCTCGACAGACGGCACACCAGGGTGCCGCGGCACCCCGGTTGGGAAACACTGTTCTAGATGGTTGTCAGGCCACTGGTATGCAGTTGCTAAGCTGTTCTAAGTGGTTGCTAGGTCAATGGTATGTGGTGGATTTTCTGAATGTTTTTAGCATGTGTCTATCCAGCATGTTCCCACCAAACTGTGGATTATGGGGATTGTTCGAAATCACTAACCCTTAGCATGAGCGAGAGCGGTAGCTAACGCTGCTAATGATGACATCACACAGATAACACACTGAGCCCTGCTGATTCAACAGGAAGTTTATGAGGTCAGATGTCAAAGGTTGTGCTGATTTAAACAACCTCTGTGTGGCTGATTCTGCATCTTAGTAAGTATGTATAAGTATGTGTGTGTGTATCGATTGTGTCCCAAGCCCAAGGGACAATGATATTTTCATGATAAAAATAACTAATATTTAAGAAATAATTATTTTCTAATTATTATGCAAGAAGCTTTAATGGCCTCATATTGAGAAACTACATGGAATGTTTGTACTTTTTATTACACTGCAGGGCCATGCAATACAATAAAATTAATACATCTTATAACTGTTTTTTTTACATTTCAAACACACGCTCACAAAATAAAATCACATCTGTATCTATAAAGTATGTTGAGACAAAACTTTACCGGCCTACCCATCTTGCCCCTCTTCCCCGGTGGACCAGGACTACCCTGAAAAAGATAGAGAGACAGAGAAAGAGACAGACACTAAATAAATGCTAATAATAATTAAAAGTCTTATACCATTAGAACGAAGCACTGTTTCTGTCAGTCTGTCTGTGTGTGTGTGTGTGTGTGTGTGTGTATACACTCTGCTATCATATGACTCATCTAAACACCCTCAGATGAAGGCCAGAACCAGCTGGAAGTAGTTTCCACTTTTACAGCACACACACACACACACACACACATTTCAATGATGGAATCTACTGTGATGCATCTACCAGTAGTGGGCAGCACTTGGTTTGAAAATCTACCACTAATCTATTTCCATATTAATAACTGTAACAGCAGTCAGAACTAGAACAGGAATAGATAACTAGATTTGCTTTTTCTTCAGGAAACACAATGTTTGTAAGAACAAACAAGTATCAGCATACACTATATACACTATTTTCCTATACACTATATACAATGCTGGGTAGATTACTTACATTACATAACATTTACATTTAGTCATTTCGCAGATGTTTTTATCCAAATTGACTTACAAATGAGAACAATGGAAGCAATCAAAATCAACAAGAGAGAACAATGATATGCAAGTGCTATAACAAGTCTCAGTTATCTTAACGCAGTACACGTAGCAAGGTTTTTTTTTTATTATTATATAATAATTAATAAGAATAGAGCAAGCTAGGGTTAGAGGCCTTTTCTTTTGCTAGTTGTATAATAAATAAAAAGAAAACAAACAGAATTCAAAAAGATTAGAGAAGCTAGTGTTTTTTTTTTTAAAGAAAACAAGCAGTTAGTAAATGAATAGAGTGCAAGTCTAAAAGGCGCATGTTTTTTTTTTTAAAGAAATTGTACAAATTGTAGTTCATTACTGATTACAAATTACATGACGAAAATTGTAGTTAGTAACATAATCTGAATTACACATATTAGGTAATGTAGTCTGACTACTTCTTGATTATTTTTTAGATTACTTTTGACCTAACTAGTTTATCACATAGACTTGAATGGTATTATTGTGTACCATATTAGAGAAAAAAATAAGAGAAAGAAAAAGAAAGAAAATATATTCCATCCTTTATCAACATCAAGAAATGCATTAAACATTAGATTACAGCAGGGTTTCCCAAACTATGAATACATTTTGAATTTACTGCCATTGTGTGAATAATATGTAATTCATAAAAAGTAACTGTAATCTGATTATGAGCATTTTATACAATATACTCTAATTCCAAATACTTTATTTTTGTAATCTAATAACGTAATCCAGATTACATGTAATCAGTTACTGCCCAGCATTGACTATATACCGTAGTATGCAAAAACGTAGTATGTTGCAATGAGTAGGATTGATTCAGTGTATACTCTTAAAGTATGTGACATCGGGCACAGCAGTAGTCACTGTGCTATTAAAAGCTAAATATTTTCAAGGCACATTAGATCAAATCAAATTCAGTATGCAAATATAACATTGACATAATTGCTGTTATTTATACTTTGAATGCTGAACATTCTATAATGTTTTATTGTTAAATTTAAACTTCTGATCTTTACACAAATTGATTAAATGGAGTCTGAATTAATTGCATATGTTTAGTAATTAAGTGTTTGGTGTTTAGTACACTATGATTAGGAAATCATATTTTATGGTTCATCATGTCGATGATGTGACTGCATTAATGAGGTATTTGTATCTGTGGGAGTTTTAACGGATTCATGTAAAGTACTTGAGCGGCGTTACACAACAGCCATTTGCAGGAACATTCACCCACTGATGAGTCTTATGATCACATGATTGCTGAGAAATGAGTCATAACATGAACAGACTCACTCTTTCACCATCAGCTCCAGGTAAACCATAGAGTCCAGGGATTCCAATAAAACCCTATGAAGAAACAGAGAAAAAGAGGGAAGCTAAATATTGATGCCTGGAGCAGAGGAAAATAGCAAAGAAAGATCACAAATCACGCTTTTTAAATATCTCATTTTTTTCCAGTAACAGTGGTGTTCAGGATACTTGACATGTGGTTACTGGGGTGTTTTGAGTCGTTGCTAAGCTGTTCTGGGTTGTTGCTATATTGTTGCTAGGACATTCAAGGTGTTTGCTAAGGTGTTTATGTAGTTGCTATACTGTTGCTAAGTCGTTGAGTCATTGCTAAGCTGTTCTGAGTTGTTGCTATATTGTTGCTAAGGTGTTCTAGATGGTTTCTAAAGTGTTTTAGTAGTTGCTAAGTGATTGCTTGGGCATTCTAGGTAGTTGCTAAGGTGTTCTGGGTAGCTTCTAAAAAGTATATGGTTGCTAAGGTGTTATAAGTGGTTGCTAGGGTGTTCTAGGTGGTTGCGAAGGTGTTATGGGTAGCTGCTACATGGTATATGGTTGCTTAGGTGTTCTAAGTGATTGCTAGGGTGTTGTAGGTGGTTGCTAAGGTGTTCTGGGTAGCTTCTACATAGTATATGGTTGCTAAGGTTTTCTAAGTGGTTGTTAGGGTGTTCTAGGTGGTTGCTTATTATGCTATCCACATAGATCTGTACTTTTCGTTCATCAACAGTTTAAGGAGAAACATCTGAGACAAGTTCATATTTACATATTGACACTCCTGAATAAGAATACTAATCATCTCTTAAGACTTTAATCTTCCAATCAATCCAGTAGCAGACATCCACTGTATGAACTGATCACGCGGACGGACAGATGAATGGAGAGGTCATGGATGGATGAACGGATGGACGTCTTCGTGTTGATGCAGGCCATGAAGTAAGTGTATATGCCCATGGACTGCATGGTGCTGGCCTCCACAATGTAGTCCAAGGGCACATACGCTCACTTCAGGGAACAAACGATGACAACATGCACAAACAAAGAGTACAACAATAACACTCCCACACACATCCAGCAAAAATTCCATGCAAGATGCTTTTACGTGTCGACATTAGTGTTGTCAAAAAAAATTATTTCTTATGAAAATACCCAAGATGGCTTGAAGAACACAGATAAACCATATATTGTCATAGTTGTGTGTTTATTGTCTTCATGTGTGCTCAGTTAAAGCGTTTCTATCTTCTTTTTATTCAGTTACAGCGATAGCTGGATGCCTTTGTCCATATTAGGGATTTCGTGGAACGTCACAAGTTATATTACTTTAGTGAGGCATATTTTGGAGTTTCTGCATGAGGACATGTATGAATAAACCGTACATTACATGTGTTTATAGCGTTCCATAATGCTCACACCACCCTATTTTGGGTAAAAATAGGAAAAATAATACTTTTCTCTGAAGACATTTTAAGTAAACAGTGTTAGGTAGTAACTGATTATATGCAATTTGGATTACGTAATCAGATGTCAAAAATTACTTGTAATTAGATTATATTCCATTTTAAAATACTCATAATCAGACTACAGTAACTTTTTTATTGATTACATGATTACATATTATACACACAAGACTTTGTCTTTGGAAGACCTGCGTCTTTCAAACACATTAAAATGCTTCATGAACCCCAGTTTAACGAACCTTGACGTAATGCTAAATGGACTTCATGTTGCTAATAACAAAAGGGAATATATTTTTATTCTCTTTGCATTTTTATATCAATATGGTACAAGATTATCCTATTTAAATCAATGCAATAAACGAGTCACACGTAATCTAAAAGTAATTAAAAAGTCTGATTATATTACCTAAAATGTGTAATGTAATGGATTACATTACTAAAACAATTTTTAGTGTACCAAAAGTAATGGACTACAATTCCAAATTACAATTACATGACGAAAATTGTAGTTAGTAACATAATCTGAATTACAAATATTAGGTAATGTAGTCTAACTACTTTCTGATTACGTTTAGATTACTTTTCGTTTATCATATAGACTTGAATGGGATTATGGTGTTCCTTATTCATTAAAAAACAAAGAGAAAGAAAATATATTTCATTCTATATCAACATCATGAAAAGCATTAAACATTACATTACAGCAGGGTTTCCCAAACTGTATATCAGTGGTAGGTTCATTTAGAAACGAAAAAAAAGAACTGGGGTGAATCAATACATTTACGAATAGTTTATTGCCACTGTGTAAATAATTTTGTAAAACATAAAGAAGTTTTAAAATGTAATATAATCTAATTTCAAGTACTTTATATTTGGAATCTGATTACGTAATCCAGATTGCACGTAATCAGTTTCTACACAGCACTGATTGGAAGACATGTGTCTGTGTGTGTATGTGCGGGGCCTAAAAACCAGCAGGGCCTCGGTCTGATTTTAAACAGGAAATTCCAGCCAATGGGGGCGGAGCCTAGCCTGATAAAGAGCCTTTAATACAGCTTGACTACAAACACAACAGCTAAAGCGCGTGTGTGTGTGTGAGCACGCTATATAAAGTGGCACAGTGAGAATAAAATATAAATTGTTTCTGAATACTTCAAATAGACGACAGGGCAATATAAATGAAGGTGGCTGTACATGTGAACATGGTAATGTGACCGTAGGAGGCTAAAAACACACATAAACGCACACTTATGACTCGGGCAGCTGTCAGCAGCAAATTTGTCATGGTTGAGTCTCTGTTGACTCAAAAAACAGAAAAAGGAAAAACCAGGGGGACGAAAGAAAAGAGAAGCTGTAGCAGTAAAAATCTCTCGTATGGAGTCGAGGTCAAATCACTTGACTTTAAAACTCAACTAAGTCGTAAGCTACATTTTTAGCTTTGTAAAAGATCAATGCAAATAGCCTAGCAACGGTAACTATCGGCCAACTCAGACAGCTCAAATGTCACAATGACAGCTTTGTAAGTTGCAATCATACATCAAATGGGAAAAGACGTGTACACACCCGAGCCCCTTTTGGCCCAACAGGCCCTATTGGACCAGGTAAACCCTGGAAGAGAAGAAAGAGAGAGAGAGGCTTCAGAAACAGGCTTAGGATTTAATCAACACACATCATTTAACAGGCAAAATGGAACCAAAATGAATAGCTTGTTTCCTTTAGTAAGTATCCAAACTTGTGTGCCCACAACAACAAAAACCATGATGAACTTATAATGGTCTTATCATTGGCTTCATTTATTAAACAGAGCCACAAAACACCTTTATATTTTATTTGTTTATTTATAATATATTTTATAGCTATATTATATATTTTCTTTAATAAATATTTTCAAATTTAGGCTGACAAAATAGCAATGGTAAATGTTTGACAAATGAGCTTTTTCTTGATTTGGTTAGGTCATAAAAAGGAAAAATGGGTTCATTTGCAATGATGACTAAATAAATCATTAAATTATGTGAAATATTGATTTGACTTCTTGAATGATTTTATTATGTGAGAAGAAAAAGACAGTAAAGTGATATTTGACCACAGAATGCATCGACTGACCAATCAGACTTACGTATTCCAAAGAACCGTTTTATATGTTTCAATACAAACAGCTTCAATGAGCTCAAGATGTGTTAAAAACCAAAGGCTTGTGGTTCTGGATGCATATTTCAAAAGGATGGAGATTTATTCTGATTAAATCCAAAACTCCATCAATGAAAACAACACAAGCATATCAAAACATCCCGATACTAAGTGGTCAGAGTGAGCAAATACACCCTTTCCTATAATTGAATGCTGTGATTTTAAATCGCGGTGGCCCGCAGCTATACTGAACAAAACCCAATTTCGATGCCAGGGCAACATACTGCTAAATTAATTGCATATTTTCCATGAGCAGTCAATGAAAAACAAGGCAAAACACACTCAATCAAACGAACGAACGCATGCACACACACACACACACACACACACCACACTCCACAGCAGAGGAAGATCTACTGCACCTGCCTGCCAGGATAGCCTTTGGCTCCAGCTTCTCCATCAGGACCTTGTTCCCCCTGTAAAACAAGTCAAAGAGAAATATTGGTTCTCCTGATATTTATTAAAGTACATGGATATATTTTAAAGACCACAAAAAGTGTCTGAACATGTAAAATGCATGAATGTCACTACGCTATATTTGGAACAAAACACCAAACGTTGTTTTCATTTGAAAGAAAAAGCACAATCAAGCTAAATGTATTTTGTTTGTTGGGTTTGAAATGATAAATCAATAGATATACTGTTGAAATTGAAGACAGTATTGTGACAGTATTTAATGTGTTCATGTGATGTACTACATCCAGCTGATTCAAAGACATTAAGCAAAAACGATGAAGAAAAGTGAAGTTAGATGCAGTTTTGAGTTGACAATTTGAACGAATGCAATCATATTCATTTATACATAAGTGTGGCTTAAGTCTATATAATATTAAGGCTTTTTTTAATCAATTTAGGAAATATTCATTAGTGTGATGTGATGGGAAATATAAGGAGTGATAATGTCTAAACAACATGATTTCTATACATCTGTGTACGTTGGTGGATGAATGTGTCTGATACTTTCTGAACAACTTAATATTTGCGTTTGGGTGTGATATTTGATTTCCAAATAAAGCTTAAAACACGCAGCACGCAGAAAGAAGAATATGAACTCAAACATTTCTCAGCAAATTCCTCGAGAGCTGCTAGTCATATTCATTTTATAGCTCTTGCTCTGTCGACAACTCATTTTCACTATTTTTATTTCTCCAAAAGAATTTTAAGGAAGAATATTTGATGCTCAAAAATTTAGTACCTGAGAACTCAAGAACTCACTTTTAAAAGTAAAGTATGTCATTGTTGATTTCTTTCCTTTTCTACCAAAAGAAAAAAAAACTAAAAGACCTTAAAGGGGTCATTTGATGCGATTTCAATTTTTCCTTTCTCTTTGGAGTGTTACAAGCTCTTGGTGCATAAAGAAGATCTGTAAAGTTGCAAAGACTAAAGTCTCAAAACCAAAGAGATATTCTTTATAAAAGTTAAGAGTTAACCACGCCTACCTAAAACGGCTAATTAGACACTGGTAAAACTGTTACATTTACTATAGCATAAAGAAACAGTAAAATATATACATAATGTATGAACGCAAAGTGTGTAGTTATGAGATCTGCCAACAAGGGCTATATTTGTTCAACCAATGGCACAAGTTTGGGGGCGGGGCTATTTGTTTGTATGACCAATGGTGGGCAGGAAGTGTGTTTTCCGCAAATGATTTTAAAATCAATCGTTATTTTTGAAATTCTGTTTGGTGATGCTAGGCACAGAAATTACACGCTTCACATTTAAGGCTCACGAGCTACGAAAGAACACACTCTGAGCTATAAAACTTTCCTCTGGGTATGAGTGTTTGTCTTTCCTCTCATTAAACTTTTGACTTGAGAGGACGGTTCACCTTAAATAACACAGAGGGCTTTATAAACACTTTTTCTTGTCATGTGAATGTCTGTGTGTGTATTTTAAGAGGTAAAAATCTCCATGGATTAGAAACACTTTTTGGATTAGAAAACTGAGTGTTTGTTTATGTGCTTGTTTGTTTGTGTAACAGGGTTTGTATGTCTGCATTACTCACTGGTTCCCCGGGAAGGCCTGGTGGTCCTGGATGGCCTTTTTGTCCCTGTTCACAAAGAGGACACATGACGATTTAGTAAACACTTAAGTGATTTACACAAACATACACACAAACTGAAACAAACTAAGACAAATGAAAGGCTACAAACCACTTTCTAAAAAAGGATATGGAAAGACACGCCCACAAATACGCATCTCCAGCAGTGAGTGTACATTTGACAGAACCATCATTATTGACCCAATCCATCTGTAGTCAATAAGCTAAAGCAGTGCAATATTTTCCACACACGTCTTTATGTTGAACAAAATGCGCATCTGCACATGTGCGTTTGCAACATAGGTTTCAGTGAGCAAACGTGTGTGTGTGTGTGTGTGTGTGTGTATTACAGATATAAATGTTTTCCTGCTGGAGTCAAGCTCCCAAGAGTCAATATTGTGCAGTCATTCTTGAGAAGTGGGACAAAACAGAGTGCAAAATTGAAAAAATAAAACCTTGTACTCAGACAAATGAAACTACATTTATGTATCTTATATGTACTAAGCTACACTTTGATACAACCTCCCAACTTCTCTCTTTTTTAACAAAATGTGCTTTTATTTATTTTTTACCTTGGACTGTGTAATATAATTTAAACTTTATCTTTAACAGCATTCAAGATGTTTTTAACATTTCAAAACACATTCTTGTGTTAGCAGACAGATTACACTTTCACATGTGACCAACAATTCCACAACAAATATAAAATATCAATGAAATATTATCAAAATATTCAACTGACGGAGGTGACACATCTGACGGAGGTGACGAAAACCTGAATTTGTAGTCATTTTAACTATCAAATACATTGAATCAGTCAATTACTGTATTAAAACAA